ATTTACATGTGACACACCCTTTCTTCGAGTTAGCGAGCATAACTTCAGGTAGTGATAGATGCGAATATCTACCAAAGAAGACCTACCAGACCGGACTTTAGGCCTTCGAGCTCGTATGCGAGGCACGGACGGCGCAGTCATATTTGAGAACGGGGAATGGCTATTGAATGATGATTTTCACAGTGTCTGCCCTCTCGGCGGCGGCGGCGGCGACCATACGCATATTGTAGTCTTCCACTATTCTGGCGAAGAAGCATAGGAAACGGACAATACATATCAATGTCGCCTTATAATAACGAGAAATATTACACCCAGTCAGCCTGCCTTATTTCCAACACAGTTGGTGCGACGTCAACTTGCGTAACCCTACCATTTGGATCCTATGGGCCGGCTATGTAAACTACCTGCAGCAAATGCGAAGCTCGAGCGGTTCACGTCGTCAGGTGGTACAGCGTGTTCGGGAGGAATTTTATAGGACCAATCCGAACGGGTAATTGCCCCGCTGACTCGGGTATATGAATGACGGGCTAAGGCCGTCGACAAGGGCTGTGCCGCCCTTGGGAATCCTCGGCGCGCTGGCAGAAGAACTCCTTCAGCATGGTGGGTGGGGAGAAGGATTCCTCCCACCTGAGATAAAGTGGCGTGGCGTCTCGCGTGCTTCCGCGGGTTTGAAACAAAACCATCCATACTGCATATTTTCCCAAGTACCTAGTAGGGGTATTGAAGTTCTAGAAATCTTGAATCTTGCTGTTACTCATATCTTACTAAGCTCTAGGTCTTGGAGCGGGTTGAAATAAAGGTGCGTTTTAATGACTTTCGAAGTAACCCGTAGGCATAGTAGGTATATCATGGTTATTATAGACGTTATTCCCATGCTTGGCGTCTGGTATGTAACATGTGTCGGCTTCGGAGTGACTTTGATTCCACGTCGGACACTTTCCATTGATGAAGCTATATAGGTGGCTGCATTGAGCTCGCTGTCAATCGAATTATAGACAAGCTTGAGGATTCGTATAGTTACACACATCTGTTAATTCACCCGCTTACCTACGCCACGCCGCTTTGATGGAGAGAGGGAGCTCTATTTGTCCGCATCGTAAAACATGGATATATTAGTATAAGCACGCGATCCATTAGAATTCGACGTCGATTTAGCTGACTGGCCCTTGATCGTAAGCTGCTATAGAGAGGTCTATTATGATTGACTGAATTTGGCCTAGGTTTAAATAAGGTAGGTTTCAATAAGAAGGGATTTTAACCATTACCAATGTGTATTAAGATATCGCAGCATAATCATATTCATGTGGACAAGCTGATTTGTTTACTTGCTTATGGGTGTTTTTATTAGAGCTTGGTTTTACTATGGCATCCAAATTTGAAGCTCTTAAGCTCACAGCTTTAGTGACCTTAACATTATTTTATGTAGGTATTCTGCCTCTTTGACCTTTCTCCGCTTTTTCGTTGGCTCCCGTACCTACAACAAATTGGGCTTGCCAAGTTTCTTTTACTTTTCCCCTCTCCATATACAAGTCTATGAACCAGCGCGGTCGTCAAGTTATCATAGGTAGAAGGAGCTTAATGTCTCAGAGAAAGGGGGAGTGGTACGTTGAATAAGCTTGCTGCGGATAGATATCACCTTGCTTACTAGGTAGGTATCTTTGCCTCTTATCTGATAGTTTATATGAAGCTTCCGAGGGAGTGGAAAATCCAAGCATTAATCAACTTATGTAGTACTTGTAAATTGCGGCTCTTCAATTAGGTATTGAGACCAACTGCCTATGACGGCACTACCCCGCTGCGTGAAAAGAAAAGGAAGAGAAATCTGCGATGAAAGATTGGAGAAATGCGTATCTATGGCAGCCATGGAAGCATGGGTAGTAAGATAATCAATCCAGTGTAGAGATCTGACCGCATTTCATTACGACGGGGCTACACGAGCTGACAACTCACGCTTCCAATTACAAACCACGATCGTAGTGAGTCAGCATGTAATGTCCCGGCAACCTTCCTAACTGGGAGGTTGCTTGCGATGCTTTTTGCCGTCTTTGGCGGAGTTATGGGATGATTTAGTGAGAACCGGGCACGCAATGCTTATCCCAATGACATCCTTGACTCAATGAGGTGCATATTCTTTAGCTGGGCTGCCTGGATGCTCTTCCGAGGGTCCGGATTTCCTTGGGCACTTCATAAAACCCAATATCAACGTTGGGTTTTTTTGGCTGTAATTTATTGGCATTGGTATTGCTTTATTGCATCTATAGAGATCATGAAGCTGCGTTGGTGGTCGATCGGCCTTTTGGCCGCCCTCTCACGGGATACCGAAGCTTTCCAAATAAAGAGAGATACTCCTCGAGATGAGCTTCAATATCCTCCTAATTATTTTGATCAATTGATCAACCACTTCCCCAATGACCCGCAGTTTGCCAAGTCCAACTTGAGCCATGGCACTTTCAAGCAGCGATATTATGTTGACAGCTCCTATTATAAGCCAGGTCAATTCATGCAAAACTGTATGTCTAATATAGCGACGCTAATATTTCCGCAGGCGGACCGGTGTACCTTTACATCTCAGGAGAGACGAGTGGGCCCAGTAGATTCTCTAATTTACAAACAGGCATTATTCAAATATTGATGCAAGCTACCAACGGTCTAGGTATGAATTTTAACATGAACGAATGAACATAATGCCAAGACAGGAGAAGAGATATGTGAGAAGTATATGAACTTGAACTGATTATTCTGAAGGCGTTATCTTAGAGAATCGCTACTACGGCGAGTCCTATCCCTTCAGCACCAGCACCACAGACGAATTGCTCTTTCTCACCACGAACCAAACGTTAGCTGACAATGCTTACTTTGCTCAGCACGCCACGTTCCCCGGGATTGATGCTAACCTTACCGCACCTGGTACTCCATGGATTTTGTACGGAGGTAGCTTAGCAGGGGCTCAGACTGCTCTGTCCATCAAAGTGCATGGGGACGTACTCTACGGCGGCATTGCCTCCTCGGCCCCTATCAAGGTCTCTCTGGGTTACCCCGAGTGGTACAATCCCATTCAGAAGTACGCGCCTCAGGACTGCGTCAGCCGAATCAATAAGATCATTGATAATTTCGATCTGCTTGTTGAGAAGAAGCACACTGAAGCAATCAATGAATTCAAGGCTCTCTTCGGTCTTGAGTCCCTCACGGACAATAGGGACTTTGCAGCTGCCATTGCCGTGGGTTCCACTCCTTTCCCTCTCCGCATAGACATCGTAGACATTTGGATATGCGATGTGGTGCATTCGATCACCTGCTAACTTGTTGCGTAGGATCCTATTGGAAACCCTGGGTTCTATCTCTCAAATACGTGGCAAGAACTGAATTGGAATTCTACCTACGGACCGAGGGACTTCTTCTATTTTTGCGGAAATGTTTCTGACATTGATGCGCCGGAAGAGATCACTCAGGTGGACTATGCCTTGGCCAACTATACCAACGGCGAACCCTGGGTGTAAGCCTCCTTTCTGATCCATGCTCATCTCTCAAGCAGCCCATTAAATTCTGAACCTGCCAATTATGATGGATTGCAAGAGTTCGCATAGCGCCGAAGAGCTCTCTTGATATTTCAATTCGGATTTTTGACTAACATTACGTTCTTCCTTGTAGTGGCCTTGGTAGTTATGCCAACTATATCAAGACGTACACTCTGCCGCTATGCCCCTCAGGAGACTATAATAGCAGCGATTGCTGGGTAAGACATATGACTCCATTCTTTCGTTATACCAAACCCCTTGGAGGAGTGGCATATGAACTAGGAACCCCGGCATTTCTTTAAGCACGACAGCAACTAACTCGTTGGTCGTAGGGAACTCAGAATGCTTCGGCCTGGGCTGATATAGAAAATACGTCTACACGCTCATATCTCTATACAAGTTGTATAGAACAGGTAAGAATACCTCGAGTAACCACGTGGTACTTACACATGAGCTTACATTCGAACCCTTAAGGGTGCGTATATCGACGCGCCAAAAGAAGGGCCAACTCTGCTATCTCGCGTCGTGGATACCAGCTACGAGCAACAGTGGTGCACCTGGGCCTTCCCCGCCGGAAATTACAACAAGATCCCATCGACTCCGGACTTAGAAGCGTACAACAGTTTTGGCGCATTTAATCTTAGCGCCGATAGACTTGCATTCATCGATGGTTCTCAAGTACGTACTCATCCTCATATCCTCATATCCCCATACCCTCATATCTTAAGGATCTGCGTTTCGAATGTACCTAGGTAGGTATGCTAACGAGTCTCAGGACGTATGGAACGACCTATGCTACCACTCTAGCTTCGCGCCCCCGCTAAGACAGACCTCCGACCTGCATCCCGAGTACTTCATCACGGGGGCGGGACACCACTGGGACTCGTACGGCATCCTGGATGTGCAAGCTGAGCCGCAGTTCATCCGAGAGGCGCATCTGTGGGAGATTAAGACTGTGAAGAAGTGGCTTAGAGTCTTTGATGATTGGAAGAAGGCGAAGAAGGTGTAGACACGGGGCTGCGGGGGCCTAGGGGCGAAGTTGAGGATCGGGGCTTAGGAGGTAGAGAGAGAGTGCTGTATTCGTAATGCTAATGCTAATTCTGGAGCCGGGTAGTCTGGGCTCTGGGTGTTGAGCTTGTTGCGTATTGTTAATGGCAAATAGTAATCTGAAGGAGCTTATAATGACCAAGATTCGGGCAAAACACCGAGAAGTTCATTTGTGTTAGGTGGACGGATAGGAGAAGCATATAAGTGTAAGAGTATTTAATAGCTCAAAGAGAGTTGAGAGGTAGGTAGTCAATAATATCTGATCAGAGCTGCTATCCGAGAGTGAGCCATGTCAACGTCATGGCCTTGAGCACTTGTCTGGTTAGGAGGAAGCTTTAGATGACTAGATGATTGGGTGGTTCGATTGGTTGTGGAGTTGACGGTGTATGTGTGGGTAGTGTAAAGTATATGAAGTAATAGTGCAGAACAAATCTTCAAGGGCGCATGGCCTAATGGTAAGGCGTCAGATTTCGGTTATCAAAGAACGGCCTCTGAAGATTGCAGGTTCGATCCCTGCTGTGCTCGATCAATTTATTCAATCATATCTTTACTTTTTGCATTCTAAATTTTTTACTATTCTTCGGGACTTCCGACGTCTTGAGTCACACACACTGATACTACTTCATTTTTTCATTAATACCGCATGGATTTATCCATGTCATTTGGCATGCTACTCCCTTTCTTCGTGATGCCCCGCTTTGTTATCTATCGAGACCGAGATCGGCCCACTAAAATTTCATTTTTGCGGTAGTCATCATGTCCCGTTACAAAGACAAGCCTATAGGTATAATTCACTGCCGAGAGCGACTCACGACGGCGGAGGACAAGAGAGTGCCTCGAGTCTATTGCTGCTATTTCAGCTAATAAGTCTGTCATTTCTATGGGCTGGCCTGTGTAGAACCAGCCGTCCACTCCTTTCGGTTTTGTGTAGTTGAGCGACAAATTGTGTAAACCGTATCTTCGCCATGTCTGCTTCATTACCAGGCAATCGAGAACTGCCTGAGTCGCAATATGACTTAAGCACATATTGGGGCCGTGTCAAACAGACGGCTACAATTACAGACCCGAGGTATGAGCTGGATTGCTAAATTCCCATGTCTGCTGGTGGTATTGCTCGTGGTCATTTTACAAACTGCTCTAACATGGATTTGCTATACACAGAACACTGCTTGCAGGGAAGCATGGCCTTGAAGAAGCCAAAAGGTTAATAGTGGCTTACAAGCAAGGTGAAATAAAGGACATGACGCCGGAGCTATGGAAGGCCAAGAAGATTGTTGACTCTACATTACATCCTGGTATGGTGGCATAAAGGAGCCTGGTCAATGGCTATGGCGTAGCTTCGAGCTGTCGAGTTAACCGATCTCTCTAGATACCGGAGAGCCTGTTCTCCTTCCCTTCCGCATGTCCTGTTTCGCGCTATCAAACCTGGTTGTTACGGCTGGAATGCTTACACCAGGTCTGAAGGTATTGTCCCTGTTCTTGAATTAGGACATCGCTTGGCTTGAAGGGATGCTCACACAATCCACGACAACAGACCACCGGAACTGTTCTCTGGCAAATTACAAACCAGTCGCTCAATGTTGCCATCAACTACGCGAACGCGAACAAATCAACGCCGCTCTCTTACTCGAAAATTGCGCAGTCCTACTTGTTGGCTGTAAGCGCATCTTGCTCCGTCGCGGTCGGGCTGAACTCCTTGGTCCCTCGCCTTAAGCGATTCTCGCCAACGACGAAGCTTGTTCTCAGCCGTCTTGTTCCCTTCGCAGCTGTAGCCTCCGCCGGTGTATTGAACGTGTTCCTCATGCGCGGCGAGGAGATGCGGACCGGTATCGATGTGTTCCCCGTTCTCTCAGAAGCCGACAAGGCAAAGCTAGCGAAGGAGGGCAAGGCAGAGAACGAAGTACCGAGCTTGGGCAAGAGCAGAAAAGCAGCGACCTTAGCTGTGGCTGAGACGGCGCTGAGCAGAGTCTTCAACTGCACCCCTATCATGGTCGTCCCGCCGCTGATCCTCGTGCGCCTGCAGCGGACTGAGTGGCTGAAGAGGAACCCGCGCTATACGATGCCTATTAACCTCGGTTTGATCCTGGGTATGAGTTACCTTGCGCTGCCTTTCGCATTGGCGGCATTCCCACAGCGACAGAGGATTAGTGCGGATAGCTTGGAGGAGGAATTTCACGGCCGGGGAGGAGATGGAGGTATGGTCGTCTTCAACCGTGGAATTTAGAGATTTGCTTCATTCGTCGGCGTTCATGTTTAGAGCTTTAAGAGCTTCCATAACTGGTAGGTATGTTGAGCGTTCTTTGAGAAGAGAGACTCGAAAGAACCAGAATAGACCACAGTCATGTTGTCTTTGCAATTTGGTTCAAGGGAAAAGAGCATATGGAGATGGATAAACGAGCGTCAGATAGTTTCATGGTCATGATATGTATATTAGACTAGTGGTGTTGCGAGGCGAGTTATGGCTGCTTGCCATGGTTTCATTACATGAAGAAACGAATAACGCGTAGAATAGAAACCAATATCGAACCCAGCTATAGCTTTTGTTTCTTTAAAAGTGTGAGATGTGCCCTGGATTCCGGGTTGGGCTCAGCTTTGATCGCCCAAGTCGTCCTAACACGCTGCCTCACGCGTGTCTGGGGTACAACTCTGACGTGACGATCGGGAACGACTCCCGTTGCGCGAGCTTTGGGGTTTTGGCCATTTGGAGGGGGATACGTAACGAGGGGGAAGTTTTCTAAGGGAAGCGGGGCAGAAACATCCATGGATGCGTGTATTCCGTCAGCGCCGCTACAGGGTGCAAACTGCATCTGCATTGCATTAGGGTACCTAGAAAATCCTGTAAGATCGCATTCGGATGATGGTTTTCGGCGGAACATCACCGCTATACGCTCATCTGATGGCCCAGTTGCTCCATAAATGAGGACCGCAGGGCTTGAGAGAACAGGGATTGATGGCCTCTAGGCAATTAATATCCTATGGGACTTTGGAAAAGTCAGAGGAAAAGAGGGAAATTTTCGCTGGGGAATCCAGTGAAGGATTGATCGACGTAGGCTGACGGGCGGTGCTGCTAAGTTAGCATCTCACTGTAGCTACAGTACATGTCAATGTCAATGTAGGCACATGGCTGGCAGTATAGTTGCTTGAAGATGCCCACTGAGTTCAGGTTGCAATTGTGATTAATATAGTATTCGGATTGCCCTGCGGGCGGGTGGAAGCTTATCTCATTCTATGCACGGAACGTTGTAGTGTAGACACCGCTTGGTAGGCTCATATTATGAACCGATTTATCCAGGCGAAGTTCGCTGAAGGGGATTGCATGACTGGGACCAGTTTGTGGGCCAACAGACAAAGATCCATTAGGAGGCAGTTTCATGAGAATAAATATAACATACAGGTAATCTTTGAATGTATCTGTTGATGTCATCATATGCTAACATTGGTTCGAGGGAGAAAGTGTCAGGTGAAAACGAGTCTCTAGTTGGACTGCTTACAATGGAATCGAGACCAAATCATTCATGATTTACCCAACTATAACTTGAGGGGAGAACGGACAATAAGAACTCCACACGAGAGGAGACATATAGTGCTGAATACTACGTAGAGGTGTTAGGCGGACTTAAAACCGAGGAACAATGTTAGCTTTTCACGAGTCATGATGTTGTTACATAGGCATTAACGAAATTTGCCACTTCGTCGCTGTCCGAAACACATCTTAACGCTCGCGAGCCATTCACAGCAGAGAGATGGACTCTCATCATACAATACCATAAAATCTAAGTAGTAGTTTAGCTGTCACCTGGACGTTGGTCCGTTGTCCCGACTCCCTTGACTGCTGCATAGTGATCGGGAAAAGAGACCGATAGGTTCCCAGCCAGGTAGATGAATTTGGCATACGAATGTGATTATGTGGTACAAGTCGCAGGAATACCAGATTTGGTAATTAATTACATGCGGTCTAAAACTCCCTTTTAAGGGCATAGACTTAGCCATCACCAACTTAAAGCGGAGAGCACTGATAATATTTGAAGGCCCATGTTACTTAAGTCGTAAGAGCTATAAACTTACTGTGGGTTAGGCCGAATTTGCAAGAATAGCCAGATATACTCGAGGATCGTGGATTGCCACGCGGCACAAAACCCTCTCGCTTAGGTACCTTTTAAGACGGGTCTTTCATCCTTTTGTCAGTCAGCTGGGAGATCAGAGACCCAACTTGATTGAAACCGATAAGGCTGCAAGTAGAAAATTCGTGATAATGGGACGGCAACACTAAGCGGTCGTGTTGTACTTGGAGATGAGGGGAAGAACTAATGCTGCAAGAGATGCATAGGCGACACTAGGAAGAACTTAGGGCGAGCCGAGATTCTAGTACCAATAGCAGTGTGGCAATAATTGCCGTCTGCGCCTCGGGAGTGTATTTGACGATAGCGTTGTCGCTGGCAGAACCTTGGAACTTTAGGGGACCCTGAATGGATTCGACGAAATTGTAGGTAATGTAGTATTTGAAAGGGTCCGCTGACTTGACCAATCAGCCGGTCCTAGTACCATCCCTTTCCCAAGCGGGAGGGGCCTTTTCACAATGTGAGAGGAGAAATCGGGATCCAACTAGAGTGAAGATGCCTGACGAAAGAGTTGAGACATGCCCTTTCGAATAACAGATGACCTGAACACTAGAAAAGGTTGGAAGTGAGTATCATTTATGATACCTGGTAGATATCGTATAAGCAAAGCTGCCCAGGACAAGAATTATCTGGCCCCGAATACACAGGTCGTAATAAATGTTGGTAGAATTGTAGAGTCATAGGTAAAAGAACAGCGCTGGTTGCCATACCGACAGCACCTGTGGACAGTGACAAGAAACAGGTAGCGATAGCATATTACCCTGGAAGATAATATTGGTTGCCATGATACCTGAATTGTTTTTAGTGCCTTCTCAGGTAAGTTGGCGCTCGGGGTCGGAGTGCTGAAAAGAGAAGTGGACCGTGCAGGTTAAATGTAGATCTACTGTACACCCATATTCCTTCCCCATACTTCGTACCGTGTGGGAAGTGGAGGCTTTATTAATCTGGGCTGTTCATTATTTTTGGTAGCGTCGACGCTTGCGATAACAGGTAATTCCTGAGGCGAATTACCAAACAAACTGGCCCACCTATTACTTCATTCTCACCACACATCCAAACAGCGTGGGCGAAGTCCGAAACAAGCGGTAGACCCGCGAATCCGTCATGTACTGTATGGCTGTATGCCTGTTCACGCAGCTTGTCATCACACAGCCCGGTGCGTTGTGAGAAGCGACGAGTAGACTACCACCACCACCTCACCCTGCATTTACGGCAACGTAAGAGTTCGTCCAGCGCTCTCGACGAGGAATTATTCTTGCCCTTGTTCACTTTGAATCGCCTTCAATTGCCTTAGAGAATCGACCTTGACATTGTTGTTGTTCTCTTGAAGACAACCAAGCACAACCCAACACCTCTTTGGCATTATTCTCCTACACTTTCCCATAATCTACTATTGTTCTTGACGTC